AAGTCACTAGTTTGAGGGGACGCTGCCTTTAAGTTCTTGCTTGCTGATCACGGTAATGATATCGCTAGCTCTTGTAAGTGGCCTTTTGTGAAGTTGAAAGGTGATAGCATAACACCCACTTGATCTCACAAAAAGGCTCTTGAGCACTCATATTATTATTATTATTATTTATTATTATTCCTAATATTAGAACACCATAGAAGTTTTGGTCAAACTGGGGATTACGACCCACCTACCGTATACCTATCGACCCATGTAGTGGTTTTACCTTACACTTCAGTGATATTCAGGAGCAGCGGAGGAGCCCCCGGTCCCCTGAGTAAAACTTCAACGAAAGAATTTTTGAGTTTCTGGGTCAACTATCAGTAGCCCCAAAAATATTTTTTTATTATGATACTGTACGGATGGTGCTTCAGGTACACGTAGGTAGGGCTACATCTGGCAGGACCGTTGCAGTGAAGTGTGCTCGAGATGCGAAAGAAATCCAAGCAGCGCGCAAAGAAGTTGAGTTCTATCGAAGATGCGCTGGTGCTCCTAATATAGTGAAGGTTGGTGTCGTGTGCACTCTCTAAGTGATTTCTTCAAGCATATGTTACTATGCCAGTATGTCGGCAGCCGGCATAGGGAGGCAACCGATCATTCTCCTGAGAGATTCTCATTTGCTATGGAACGAGCTTTGTTCTCTTTGGATAGACTCATGAAGCAGGTCCGACATCTGCAGGGGCTTCCAAAAGACATATTGATAGATCTACTAGTGGATTCAAGTACGCTTAAAAGTTTATTTTATCTTACCAAACATCCTAGAGTTCATCCATTTCAGCGTCTGCACTGAATACGTTGAAAAGTCGAGGAATTGCTCATCGTGATATCAAGCATCTTAACATTCTTGTATTTCCAGGTCCTCGGAGAGGACGAAAGTCAGTTTCTTCATATCTTTCTTGCTTGTTTTGACTCGAAAGTCAGATTCTAGATCGCAGTATTTGTTCAAACTCTGTGATATGGGAGTCTCAAGCTTTGTCCATGAGGATGGTTTGATGCAAACTCTAGTTGGCACCCCCCATGCGCTGGTCAGTTCACACTTTAGCTTATGATGTATGAAGAATAATCGCTGTGTATGACTGGAAATTCTAAAAATTGCATTGAATGCACTAAGCCCGTATGCACTTACATCCCCGCTGGGTAGGGGAGGGGATGTGAGAGGGAATGCGACAAATCTCGCTACTCTCGGTATCTTTCTTCTTCCTTCTCTATCTTGCTTACAATGCTTCTCTAACCTTGTACCTGCGCATAATGGATGCCAGGTTACTGCCATA